TTATTACTTTTGTTTTAATTCCATACATTCTTCTGGAGGCTTCACGGGGTTGCCCTTGAAAAGCACACAGAAGCTTCAATTGGTTCAGAAGGCAACAAACGTATACAATGTTGGGTATGCTTAAGTTTGCTCATGTGACACCACTGCACTGATTTATAGTAAATTTCTGGCATAGGGACAGTGATGGCAAACCTTTTGGTCTTAGCGTGCCAAAAATTCAGAAAATGCCTATCTTGACTCTGCTGGCATGTCACCACTCCACCCCGTGGACAAAAGAGAATTCATAACAAAGAGTAATAAATTAAATTATTTAAATGTGTTCTTTAATAAATAAACACATACATATTTACATATTTGTCCCAAAAGTGGGACAGTAAAAGAATGCTAACAAGCAGATGACTGCAAATAATATACTGTATTTTTCGCTCCATAAGACACACTCCCCCCCACCCTGAAAAGTGGGTGGAAACGGTGCTGGTGAATAGCAGCTGGGCCGTGGCAGCAGGATCCTTTTACAGTGCTGAACTCCACTTCGTTTCTTTTCTGCAGTGCAGGAGTCAATAGGCTCCTATCTGTGATCCTCTCAGGCTCCGCCTGATACTTTTGTTCTTGTTTTCCTCCTCTAAACCTAGGTGCGTCTTATGGTCTTCTGCATCTTACGGAGTGAAAAATAAAAGTAAATCCTTCCATCCTTCACTATTTGGTCAGAACTGAAGAAGCGAAACATCTTCAAGGAAAAAACAAAATCCATTTGTCTTTTGCCGGGGGTGGGAGGTGGGGGAATGCTTTTGGGATAACCATGACCTGGATGACTGAGAATCTCCATAGACATAAATACTTACCTAATTGTAAATATCTTTCAAAATGCCATCCAAGACAGCTCCAGTTTGCCTGAGGCCTAGAAACTTTGAAAAACGCTCGCGTGACCTTTCAGCTTCTGAAAAGAGTGGGAAAACATGCTCTGTTCTTGTGTGCTTTTTGGAAGCTCCAGAAGTCATGCAACAACACGGTCCTCTTACGCGACTAGGTCTGGTATGTATCACCAAAAATGACATGGAGTGTCGCCTGTGACACACTTATCTTGGCATCACCGGCATAGGATGTTATTCGAGGGACCTCCTTTCTCCAGTAGCTTCTGTCAGGTCCAACAGGGTGGGTTTTCCACAAGTCCCTTCTAAGTCCACCATTCTGTGGGAATGAGGAGACATATCCTCTCTTTGCAGCCCCTTCCGTATAGATCTTTTCCCCTGAGATCTGAAAGCTCCAATCTAGCTCTTCACAGAAAGCTGTGCTGTAAAAAAATCCTGCTTTTCCCTCAGGTGTTAGGACCAAGATGTTAATGGGATTTGGGGGAGCTGCGAGATGCTTTGGTTCCTGTATTCTATTATGATTGCTTTCAATCGTCTTATCTGTTTTGTTCAGTTTTTGCATTCTTGTTGCTGTCCAGAGTAATTTGCTCATACTAGGCAGTCATATAACATTTCTAAATAAGTAAATAATTTCTCCATCCACATTTTCTTTCACATCATCTCTGTACCAAATATTCTTTTTTATACTTCCTTGTCATGGCATTTTTTAACCTAATTCTTTTCACTGCCTCCAAGCATTTCACATTCTTTTTTGTTACAGCCATTTATTGCACATCCTGCTGATGATTAATTACATTTCTCAAGTATTTTTATTTTTCACGATCAATTGACTTTTTAGTTTCGTAGTCATTTCATTCTTTGCTTTTCTTTTTCTCTATATCTGTGTTTTTCCATTAGCCACCGTTGACATTACCAAAAATGTTCTGTCCCACATTCGTAGCCTCTCATCATCAATAATTCTCTCACTCTTTCATCATAAACAATGAAATTTATCAAATTAGTCACACTTTTAGATAAAAAAGGGTGAATCAAGACAGGGTTTATAGGCCAATCACAATATTTTACTAATTCTTTTTCCCCCCACAGAAGATTCTACTGTACTTAGGAATATTCAAAGGTCACATGTCAAAGAATAAGAAAATATTCAAAAGGAAATGGCAACCTGTTCAAATACGCAGGTTAATATAATTTGTCTAATGGGCCTGACTTTTGGTACACCTTGTATATTGTTCCTTTATCATATAGAGTACAGACTTATACCTTTGAAAAAAATATTTGTTTACACATATCTTCATTATATTTCATAAACAAACATTTAAAATACAAACATAAGGGGGAAGAGGGCAGGAGAATAACAGGACTGATTAAAAAGTGACAAAAATACATCAAACATAAGACAAGCATAAAAATATAACTAAATAAAAAACAAAAACAAACAAACAAATAAATTTTCTAAGCTGATACTTACTTAAGGAAAATTGGCAGGTTTTCAAGACAGTTGTAGCGAAAACAATAAAAACATATCGTTGTGACCATGGTGCTCTCTGAGTTTGACTGTTTTCTTGTAGACATTTCATTACCCAAACTAGGTAATATTCAAGAAAACAACCAAGTTCTGAGAGCACCAAATACCACTCATTTCACCTTTTAGCTACAAATATTCTCTTTTATTGACTCCTACAACCTTTGAGATATTTAATTTTTTTTAACTTGAATACCCTGAAAGAGTAAACAGTCTGAAAGCTATGGGGAGCCTTGATGGATAAAAAACAGGCTTTTATTTAATCCGAACAAGACCAAGTGGCTATGGGTTCTGGGACATCAATGTGGAAAACTGTCTATCTTTAGGTCTAGAGGGGGATGCACTCTCCCATACAAAACCTATGCATATTTTTGGGTCCTCTTGGACTTTCAGTTCCTGCAGACAAAGCAAGTAGCATCTATAGCCAAGATCCATCTAATGTGCCAGTTGTACCCTTTCTGTATTGGAACCAAGGGTGAAATCTAAAATTTGCTACTACTGGTTCTGTGGGTTTGGCTTGGTGGGGGTAATGTGACTGGGTGGGCGTGGCCAACTTTTTTTTTTTTTTTACTTTTAAAAGCATTTTTTCTACAACCTTAAGAGGTTGCAGAAAAAAATGCTTTAGAAGCTTCTGACGATCAGGCAAGTCAGCTGGAATCGCCAGAGGCTTTTAAAGGCATTTTTTTTCCTACAACCTCTTCGACTGAAGGGGTTGCAGAAAAAAATGCTTTTAAAAGCCTCTGATGATCCCAGCTGAGCCGCGTGATCATCAGAGGCTTTTTTTTTAACTTTTAAAAGCATTTTTTCATCCGAAGAGGTTGTAGAAAAAATGCTTTTAAAAGTTAAAAAAAACAGCCTCTGATGATTGCGCGACTCAGCTGGGCATGGGGGGGAGCAGGGATTTTTGCCACCGGTTCTCCGAAGCACCCGCTGCCATCGCTACCGGATCGGGTGATCCGGTCTGAACCGGGAGTATTTGACCCGATTGGAACGCCTTGATTATGGTCACTTGCCTTGATCACCTCTTGTCTGGACTACAGCAATGCACTCTACATAGGGCTGCTCTTGAAAACACCTGGAAGCTGCAACTGGTCCAGAATGCAGGGGTACGAGTAGTTACGTGTGCATCTTGGTGTATTTGTGAAATACCACTGCTTCACAACTTGCACTGGATCCCTATAGGTACAATTGATGTACCTGTATGTACTCTGTTATAAATATTTTATGGTACTAGGCTGGGTTATTTTTGTGATTACCTATCTCCAATCATCTGTTTATGCCACATGACTCAGCAGGTTGGGAATGCTACAGGTCCCTTCTACAAAAGTGTCACCTGATGGAACACTGGAGATGTGCTTTTCCTGTCCCATTGAAGAACATACCACCTGAGAATCAGATGGCTCCAATCTGTGAAGCCCTTAAACTTGCTTCTTTGTCTCAGAGCATGGGATGAACGCATCCAAAAATGGAGTTCTTGAATGGAATCAGTGATGGTTGGCCTCAGTTATTGTATGAGATACATTCTTTAATTAAAGCTTGGTAGATTTATATGCAGGAGAATAATTTTAACTACCGAGAACAGATTTTAATTGTAGATATTTGGAAGTTCATCTGTTTTTTTTTATTGTTGTTGTTCTTTTGGTTTTGATACATTATAATGAAGAATAAGAGATTAAAAATTGTATTTCTTTACAAGACTGACTATGGAGCCTTTTATATAATAAGGTATAAGTTATTGCTCACTTACTTAAATAGCAGAGAAATCTTCTTGAAAATATATCCACTTTAATGATTAACTGTTTAAAGAATGGTAGTCAATTAAAATTAATTAACTGATTTAATACTCCTAATCTAATGCCTGTTATATTTCTGGACTATCCATTATCAATACATTTATATTTATATATTTATCTTTTGGTTATCTGGTATTCCTTTATATTTAGGGTTGAACAGTTTGTTCTAAATAAATTTGATTTTGAATGCATATGTAAATCCATAGAAACTGGTTGAGGTCCATTTCTGGGGCCTGAGAACAACTCCATTCAGGATTTGAAAAAATAGAAAATTGAACCCCATTATTCACCATGCTACATTTTTAGATTTAAAGATATCATGTACAGATTAAACTGTGAAACTATCTGGGAACCAAGTATATACAGTTGGTTGCTTCATTCTGGTAGAATGGTTCAAAGCAGGGGTGAAATGCTCCTGGTTCAGACCGGATTGCCTGATCCGGTAGCGATGGCGGCGGGTGGTTCTAGAACCGGTAGCAAAAATCCCTGCGCCCCCCGCACCATGCCCAGCTGAGACACACAATCATCAGAGGCTTTTTTTTTTTACTTTTAAAAGCATTTCTTCTACAACCTCTTCCGCGGAAAAAATGCTTTTAAAAGTAAAAAAAAAAGCCTCTGATGATCGTGCAGCTCAGCTTGGATCGTCAAAGGGTTTTAAAAGAAAAAACCCCTTTTTTTCTTTTAAATGCCTCTGACGATCCAAGCTGAGTTGCCTGATGGCAGAGGCTTTTTGCCGATCAGGCAACTCAGCTGGGATGGTCAGAGCCTTTTGAAAGCATTTTTTTTGCTTTTTTTTTTTTTTTTTTTTTTGCTTTTTTGAAAGCTCTTCGCCGAAGAGGTTGTAGAAAAAATGGTTTTAAAAATTAAAAAAAAGCCTCTAATGATCACGCGGCTCAACTGGGATCGTCAGAGGCTTTTCAAAGCATTTTTTTCTGCAACCTCTTGGCCAAAGAGGTGGTAAAAAAAATGCTTTGAAAAGTCTTTGATGATCCCAGCTGAGTTCCCTGATTGGCAGAGAGGCATTTTTTAAAAAGCCTCTCTGACGATCCCAGCTGAGTTCCAGATCGGCAGAGAGGCTTTTCAAAGCATTAGAAAAAATGCTTGGAAAAATTAAAAAAAAAAAAAAGTTGGCCACGCCCACCCAGTTACATTACCCCACCACCACCACCAAGCCATGCCCACAGAACCGGTAGTAACAAATTTTACATTTCACCCCTGCTTCAAAGGAATTTTTATAAAAGATGGAATCTGGAAAAAGAAATGAAAATGATCATGAAAATATACAAGAACCTAAGAAAGGGTGGTAGTATGAAACAATATTCTTAGGTCTGAGAAGATAAAGAAAATAGGCAGAGAAATGGTAAAATCAATGTGTACAGATTAATTTGAGCTAAGCAGGCTCATTAGCTGTAGATTTCAATTATGTCATTTTAAAATCTGGACCGGGTGAACCTATTGGAGAAAATCCCTTTTAAGAGGCCATGCAATCACCTTTTCAACAAATATTAAGTCTGTCCTGTTGGCTGAGGGAGCCAGTTATATTGAGGCTTGTAAGCTCAAAGTCCAGCTAAGATTATACCATGCACTGTGTAGAACAGTGTTTTTCCCCCTTAGCAACCTTAAGATATCTGGATTTCAACTCCCAGAATTCCCCAGCCAGCATGCTGGCAGGGGAGTTCTGGGAATTGAAGTCCAGACATCTTAAAGTTGCTAAGGTTGAGAATCACTGGTGTAGAAGTTAAGCAGATAACCATGGCCAACAAATACTGATTTGCATTCTCAACTACATTTAATTAATCATTGCAAGTCTTGATATACTTCCTCTGAAAATGATTTCTGTGACTTTAACAAGCTATAATTCTGAGCAAAGAAAATATTCACAAGAAAATTTCCTCAATGGAACGAATGGTTCTTTGCACAGAAGCAGTTGTATTTCCTTTTGTAGATTTCTAAGCTATTCATTTAGTGAGGGTAATATGTACCATAGTGCTTTGATATCGATTCTGAAAAAAAGTAAGGGGAGGGGAGAATGAGACTTGAGATGATAATGCAGTAGGGCTACAGGGTATTTTACTAATTAAGATTATTGAAAGTTGATGAGGATGATGCTAATAATGAATAAAATAATTTATACTATGTCTTTCAGCATGGTCTCAGGTTGGGTCACAAAGAATTGCTATTACAGTAAAAAATACTTTTTAAAACATAAAAAAATAAAATAAAAGGAGTAACACAAAAGAGTTTTGTGGAAATAAATAACACGTCCAAAACAAAATGTTTTGTATCTTTTTGTATCTAAGCAATCACTATTATTTTCAGAATTGTAGGGACAAGTGATTTCCCAAGTGGTGTAGGATATAGTAGTCCCCCCCCCTCCAATTTCTTGTACTTTATCAATGAAGAGTTTCAGACTTAAATATCATGACAGAAGGCCTTGATAAAAGCCCCTTTTTCGCCTTACATATCCACTTCTTCCTACTGAGAGGATCAAACTGGATGGGCTACAGAAAACAATGCTCACCTTTCTCCTATAATAAATATTTCAGTAGAGAACTGGCGAATAAGCAAGGGAATGTTTAGTTCTTTCTCAAGCGATTATTGGTTACAAATCCCCACTTGAAAGTTATTTTCCTTTGTAACTCGGGTTCCGTGGTTAGAAATGGCTCTGGATATGAAGAGGAAAAATTTCTGTGGTGGATTCTGGAAGGACAAAATGACAAGTGGGGGAGAGTTCTGGTTAGCAACTCCTTGGCTTGTTCTGATCCCTCCCCACAAGGGGCCTCTTACTTTCACATTCCTACTATCTTGGCAAAATGAGAGGCAGGGGTAAAAGAGGTTGAATGCTTGTGCTTGTCACATCCAGACATACCGGTAGTACACTTCACTTAGTTTAGCTTAGGGTGTTATGGAAACTCAGCCCTTCCATTTTGCAAATCATAGTTTATAATAATTTGATTTGTGATTGGGCCTAATTTAACAACTGTATGGCTTAGTGTAATGTATAAAAGTAGTGCATGTTTACCATGACCTTATAGCAATAGCAGTTAGACTTATGCACTGCTTCATAATAGTTACAGCACTCTCTAAGTGGTTTACTGAGTCAGCATATTGCCCCCAACAATCTGGGTCCTCATTTTACCGACCACAGAAGGATGGAATGCTGAGTCAGGATTGAACTGTTGGCAGTGGGCAGTTAGCCTGCAATACTGCATTCTAACCACTACACCACCATGACTCATAGCCAAACGCCATATATCCAATTGTAACTGACAGCCCCGGTTTATGGCGAAATGAATTCCTCAGCATTAACGAAGCTACTGATCCTCTATGTCCTCATGGGCAGAAATTATACATCAACAATTGCCTTCCCAGGATATGGAACGTCAGTCATTAGGAAGCCAAAGCAATGTCCTTACCAGTTTTACATAAATACAAAGCCAGGGCCCAGGGGTATAATTTATTTATTTAAAACATGTACTATATATAGCCGCCCATCTTATAACATAGAAAGAATAGAATAGAATAGAATAGAATAGAATAGAATAGAATAGAATAGAATAGAATAGAATTCTTTATTGGCCAAGTGTGATTGGACGTACAAGGAATTTGTCTTTGGTGCATAGACTATAGAAACTAAACATGTTAAAAAAAAAACCTTTAAATTCAACAAAAACCTTGTACAAGTCAAAGCTAGACCTTCAAAGCTTTATGGGCAGCTAGAAACCTAGAGAGGCCTGTTGAGGTCCAGGGCTCAGTGTGTTCCATAGGCTGCCATTGAAAAGGTATTCTTCCTAGTCATCCTTTCCTAGGGATGAGCAGTGTAGCTTGCCTTGAGATAAATCACATTAAAATTATGACAAGAAAATATGAAAATTTGCTTTGGTGATGTAGACAATGCCACAAATTATGTTGGACTTACTTCACTGTCAAAAAGATACTTTAATGAGCTGTTAAGCTAATAAACATAATTTTAATTTATTAAAAACCAGAGACAGAGCAAAACAGAGACAAGAGAGATGAGAGAAAAGAGAGAGAGATTGCTATTTGATTATAGCTCCTAAACCCTGCCAAGTTAGGAAAATAATACCGTTTTACTAAATGTCCACTATTACAAACAAATAAGCAAATACTAATGTAACTTCTTCCAGCAATAAGTATTTTTGCATTAGAACTGGTTAATTCCAAAAGGTTTCTTAGACTAACCAAACATTTCAGTTTTATGCTTCTAAACAAAATTACCAGTTTGCTGTTTAAGACACCTTTTCTGATTAATTTTGACAGTGGAACAGGCCACTGCTGCACTAATTAAACATCTGGGATTATCAACTGAAAATTAATCTTCAGGCTCATATTCTGCATGTCTGGCCTCAAGAGACACTCTAAATAAATAAATAAATAAATAACACCAGGGTTAAGTATTCCTTGCCTTCTGACAGGGTAACAATGTGTGAATACTAACCAACTAAATACTAACTTCCATTTCTCTGGAAACAGTTTTTTTTTTAAAGTTCTGCATTTTGGTTCCAAAGCTCCTGTTCCAATACAGTAAGCAATACTCTTCAATATATAGTTGTTTACAAAACTGTGATTTTAGATCATTTTGCATTCTTAATATCCTGTAAAGTTAGCCAAATGATGCACTGATAAAATCCATATTTTTTACTACCAGTTCTGTGGGCATGGCTTGATGGGCATGGTGTGGCTTGGTGGGCATGGCTTGGTGGGTGTGGCAGGGGAAAGATACTGCAAAATCTCCATTCCCATCCCACTCTGTGGCCAGTCAGAGGTGACATTTGCCGGTTCTCCAAACTACTCAAAATTTCCGCTACTGGTTCTCCAAATTACTCAAAAATTCCGTTAACCAGTTCTCCAGAACCTGTCACCTTCTGGATTTCACCCCTGAAATGATGGCTGAATTTGTAGCAACGCACCAGACCATAAATTAGCCAACCACATTTGTGTGGTGTGAATTCATAGTGTGGTTAACCCTTGGGTCAGTAAGCCGACTGAAACCATAAAATAGATTTTGAGTAACCAATGATTAATCACAATTACATGGGTCATATGAACACAGCCTAAGATTTTTTTTAAAAAAATAATAATTGAAGTCTCTCATGGGTTTCAGTTCAGAGGTAAACATGGTTAGGAGTGTAACTCTATTCAGAAAACAACCCTGATGTGCAGACAAATCTCCATCTCACCTATGTACCATGTACTCTGCGACAGTCAAGGGCTGGTTTGGGGGCATTATGGATAAATCTGAATTGTCTGTGTGGTGGCAGATGGCTTTGAACCTGGGACATGCAGTTACTTTCAATTGTGTTGATATACAGCCTAACCCCACTTTTTTTTTTTGCGCACCTCCAACCCTCACTAACATTTGCCAACACCCTTTAGTTTAGACTGCAGTCCTACTTACCAAGAGAGTCTTAATTCCCGTTAATGCATTTCTGAGCCTGTGTCACACAGCAGGCTCTACCGGGCCAAGCTTTCAGAGAGCCCGCACACAATTAACTCGTGTTCGTGTATGTATTATTAACACTTCGCAAGACGGGAGAAAATCGTCAGGATGCAGCTCTCCCCCCCCCCCCCCCCCCCCCCTCCCGCGTTTGTTCACGGCGACAGCTTCCTGCGAGTCTGCAGCGTGCTTGGCCAGATGTTCCTCGCCTTTTTTTTCTTTTCTTTTAAAGGCTTGTACTGACCCTGACAGCTCGTGCCCGAGCCTTTTTCTTCCAGAACACAAAGTCTCACCGGGATCACTTAAACTTTTTTTTCCCCCTCGAACTGTCCGAAAAGGCTCGGCGTTATTCATATCCTGTGGCCCAATCTAAGCTGAATGCCCAGTGCCCATAACGTCGTGTGTCTAAGGGTCTGAAAGCTGTTGAAAAGCAAAAGAATTTATATTCTGGTAGCGCTGCTGCTGCTGCTGGTATTGTCCGCCTAAGTTTAGGCAAGATCACCCCGGCAGCAGAGGCAAGCTGCGGCCACAAAGCCCGCTGTCAACAAAGCGCCGCGGCGTGGGTTGGAACATAATTGATTCCTCCCTCTCTTTCTCCGGCTCTTACAGCACCTCCCTCCGTCAGGCCCCAGCTTTGTCCGGCGGCTCTTCCGTCCCGCTCTCCCTCCCCCCCACCACCGCCACAACCTAAGCGCCCGCTGGATGGAACGATCCAGCCCCGGAGCCCCGCGATCAGCCTCGTGCAATCGCCTGGCTACCCAATCGATCGCTCCCCCCCCCCGCCTTCCACGAAGCTCGCAACCCGGGAGGGTAAAGGAAGGGGAAGGGAAAAGGGGTTCCAGCCAAAGGCGACAAAGTCGAGAAGGAAGAATGCATTATTTTAAAAACAATAAGCCTGTTGTTGTTTTTTTCTTCAATCAGGAGGGGAGAAAAAAGTTTTGTAGTTTGCTAAATTGCGGGATTCCTCAAAAGAGATGCCTAAAGTGGACTTCCCTGCTGCATCGCAGAATAAGGGATCACTGATCAGGATTTGAAAGAGAGACTTTTTCCATTGGTTTTTTTTATCCCCCCCCCCCCCGTCCCAGAATTTCCGGGAACAAAGACGGGGAAATGCGGGGGAGGAGTGAGGATGATTCCGGGTTTGGCTGCTCAGGTCTGCCTGTAAAGCAAAGCTTCCCAGTGCTATTGATCTTTGCACGTTTCACCCCGCGGTCGCTGTAGCCAGACGAGGTTTCCTGTCTTTGTGGAAACTCTTCGTATCCCGTCGTCAGAACTCCTCAGGAAAAAGCCTCCACTCCCCCTAGCAACTTCCCACCAACAAATTTACAAATGTTTTAGCTTAGCAGTGAGCAGATTCCCGGATGCATATAAAACACGTGCGTCCATCCTTCATCTGAATGTTAACCCCTTCCTTTATGAGGGATGTACACACGTGACGAAGTGGAGGGTGACTCACGAAACTAGCATACGCGACGGGAGCCTTAAGTCTTCTATAAGGCGAAGAAAAATGCTCCCTTAAAAGCCTACAATTCCGATTAGATTACTCTTACAGGTGAACAAGGAAAGAAGAATTTTGTCTTCGGATCCTGGCAATCTTTCTTCTTTACTCCAAACTCGAGGTTGGGTGAGGGTGGGAAGGACAACCGCTTCAGAGTACTTTTAACAAAACCTCGGGAGTTTTCCAGATTCTCATGAATCGAAGCCAGCACCACCTCAGGTCCCTTGACATAATCAAAGGGGATAATAAATCTCCACGCCTCCTCCTCGGGAAGAGTGATGAAACATCCGCTCTTACAGGTATCCCGATAAATACCGTCGGGATGAATAAAAGGGCGCTAATTACGGGAGAACACCCGATTCACGTCAGGACAGGTGAGGCTGAAGGTGCGCCTTTAGCGGCCGCTGGGAGAGTTACAGCGCTGAGAATCATCCGCGTCCGCCCCGCGTCCAGTAAACAGCCCCTCCAAGAGCTTTACGAAGTAGGAAAGAATCGGCGCGGCGCCAGCTTTAGCAATACACCGTATTTATTTGTCCAGGCTGGCGATTAAATAAACCACTCCGGCCAATGCCGCGTTTGCTTCGCGTAGAAACGAAAGAAACGAAAGCCAGGAACGCGGGCGAGTCGGCCACTGTCTCTCTGCACGAGTGCCTGTTCTGCGGGGGCTCGCATTTCACCCTCCCTCTTTTCGCTTCTCTGGATTAGGCTCCTAGGGAGCTTTAAAGACCAGGCGGGTTTGTGCTCCCCCCACTGCCTCGTGTAATTTATGCTGCGCTTCTCAAGCCGATTGCGTAGCTCAGCCGGAGCCAGCGGTGCGGCTGGGAGAAAGGAAGCAGCAGCCAGCGTAGTTTTTTTTTTTTTAAATAAATAAATAAATTTCGAGGTTGTCAAGAGGAAGCTGTAAGTAGGAGAGAGAGGAGGAAAAAAAAGTTGTATCGCTCGGGAGAGGCCGGGGCGCGCTTGACCCCCCGGCCCTGCCGTGGAGAAAGGAGGGGACGGCGGCGGCTCTCACACACGCGCACAGAAGGATACACGCTTACCCGCACAAAGACCGACTCGGATGTTATTACTGGAGACCGGGCGCACGCTACGCGCGCCTCTAACCTAGACTCCTCTTTCTTCCTTCCTTACTTTGCCCTGGGTCTGAATCTGAATCGGAGAGTGGCTTTTTCAGCGGCGGAGAAAGGTGCCGTTCAGACATTCACTGCGTGGATGCCCTTCGCTTTCCCTTCCCCCGCTCTTAACACGGCGTGCTGCTGCTGCTCCGGCAGGGAGGCGGTGCGCGAGCAGCTGCTGCGTTTCCTGAGCAAGACCGCCTTTTGTTTTTGCTATTGCACCGAATTAAGCCTTCCCGCCCCCGCCCCGGTACCCCCACCCGCGGGCCAGGCAGGAAGAGGCAAATCGGAGGCAACTGCCCGTGCGGGTAAGCGGTCATCGCTTCCTTTCCACCCTTCCTTTCACCCACCCCCGGTGTACTTTGCTCGGCTGCTGCTGCTGCTCCTCCTCCTCCTCTTAAGGAAGTTTCCTCCCCTCTCTTCTTCAACCACCCGCGCCGCACTTCCCCTATTTCGCAGGCTGCCCGCCCCAACTCCTGGGGAGGAAGGGCTGTTCCATCACCCCCTTATCTCGAGCGGGGCTGGGCTGGGCGCAGACCACCCCCCGGCCCCTCAGCGAGGCCGAATGCCGGTGGCCGCCAATTCGCCACCCCGCACGGTGCAGCAGCCCGACTCCCGCCCCTTCTCTGCCTCCGCCCGCCTCCGGGACCGGGACCCCGCCAAGCCCCACCACCACCACCCAGGGGCCGTCGGCGCCGACGAGCGCCAGGAGCCCCAGCGTCACGGCCAGGCCGGCGGGGAAGCGGCGGGGCGGACGGGCGGTAGTGGTGGCGGCAGAGCGGCGGCTCCTTCCGGCGCCCCTTCGCCACCCTCTTTGCTCGCCTTCTTGCCGCCCTCGCCGCCGCTACGTCCCGCTGGGGGCCCTTCGCCGCCGCCGGAGCCCCCCCGGACTCGCTCCCGTTCTCGCTCCGGATTCTTCAGCCTCCTCGCCATGAACGGCGGCACCACAGCTACAGCCGCCGCCGCCGCCGCGCACTTCCAGCCTCCGCCGCCTGCCCCACCGCATCTCCATGGGCCGAGCCTGCCCGAGTTAGGCGCCCGCAGCCAAGGCAGGGGCAGCCCCGCTGGACACGGGCACCCTCGAGCCCCGCCGGGTGCCCGGGCGCCCGCACCAGGTAATGGGGCCCTGGCGGGAGGGGGGGTGGGTGGGAAGGCAACGGGAGCAGGCAGCTGGGCGGGCTGCGAGCTGGGGAGTTGTCTGGGCTTTGGGCGGCGGAGGGGAGGGGAGGGCACCGCGCGAACGAGCAAGGTCTTGGGAAGTCGCAATTGAAGGGGAGCCGCCGCGCGAGGAGAGCGAGCGAGCGAGCGAGCGGTGGCCGAGACGGGCTGCTCCAGGCAGGCTTTGCGGGAATGGGAGGTGACAGGATGTCCGTGAAGTGACTAATAAAAGAGCGTTGAGGTGAATTATAAATGGGTGCAAAAAAAGGGGGGGTGGACAGAAAAATGGGGCGGGGGCTGAAGAGAATTTGGGAAGGTCTTGGCAGCTTTCCGATTAACCGTGTTTACTTGGAAGTGAAGTCCCACTGAGTTCAATGGGACGTAACTTCCTACTGAGGCGTGTTTAGGCTTTTCGTTTATTATTGTTTTTTTTCCCCTCTGTCTCTCTTTTTCCCCCCCCCCCCCCTTAACGTGTGCTTAGAATTGCACGGCTGGATTCGTGTTGCTATCCTGACGAATCTCGAGATTGCCGAAACACCCCCCCCCCCAATTCTACACGTTAATGATCAGAAGTCGGATCTTTGCCATAGCGAAGCGTGGTAATAATGATTATAATCGGAGACTGGGGGAAAGGAAAGGTTAGGGAAGGTGCGTCAATGAGGCACAAGGGAAAGAGGCTGCTTAGTTTAAGGCTTAGGAGGAAGAGATGGTGGAAAGAAATTCAGTTTCCCAGTAGTGCTTTGCTCTTTGTGGGTTCAGGGTTTGTTTATAAGCAATATCTGGCCACACTTATTTCTCCCCCTCTTTTGGTAGAAGGATACTTAGTACTTTCTTTTTCGTTCTTTGCTTCTGTCATACTGTGCTTTGCAATAGCAGTTGTATATGGTATGTGTGCTCTTTGGCCGCTGGTTAAGTTAGTTCTGATTTCTTTGGTATTAGATGTGTGTGTTCTTAAATCTGGATGGACAATTAAGATAGTTTCGTCTCCTAGAATTGAAGTTGGGAGGTTTCAAACAAGGGATGACAATGTCTATTAGCAGTGGATATGTGAGAATGAAAAAAGAGGGTCAGGTGGGAAGAAAACAGCAAGCAGCCTGAAAGGATGTAATAAACTTAACATGGTAAAGTTTGACTGAATTGCCACTAATACATTTTTCAGTGTGTAGAAATAGCATGGTCAGGATCAAAGTTGGGTTAAACCAAAGTACATAATGGGAGAGTGGTTTATTCAACTATATTTGTATAATACCTGAAATTTTGAAATGCCTGTCAAAAAAAAATAACAGTGGAGCTTGCTGGATAATAGGTATAGTCCAATAACTAAACTGTCATACAAATATAATCTACTGAAAGCTAATTTTTTTGTTTTAAGTCAGTGTGTGACTTTTCCTTCTGCTACAAGAAGAAAAATGTATAGTGGTGGTAAATCATATTTTGTCTTTTTGTGCTTTTCTAGTAAATCTGTTTTCTCAAAATTCCATCCATTTCAGCAACAGCATAAACTCAAGTACAGTATACCTAGGATTAGAGCGTGTTACCATATTATTTCTCCAAACCAACCAATAGTTTTTTTATATTGGTTGCGTTTTTAATTTATTACATTTATATGACACCCCCGTCACCTATATGGCAACACTGGGCAGCTATATGAACATTTTTTATATGAACTTTGTAGATTTGGGGCTTTTTAAGCAGTCATAGTTCTTTGTGAATAATAATTAATACAGCAATGTAACATTTGTGGAATGTCCATGACTAATAAAGTTTTAAGGTAACAATACAGTTTTGTTCAATTAAAAATGCTTTTAAATACATTAAAAAATGCCCCAGCTGCAGTTCTTTCTGGAAGACACACCCTCTACCCTGCGAGATCTTATTCCTAATTCCAGATGTGTGTGGGCTGGTTGTTCTTACTCAAATGCGAGGGAAATACACACACACTGCAGGTTATGAAACCCAACCTATTTTTTACATGACCCTTTTTAAAGTCAGCTTCCACTTGCCTTTATTGGATACCCAAGTAGAATTCGTATAGGTTCATATTTTGTTGTCTAAAGCAGTTGGGTGTAAAGAAAACTTTTTTCTGAGTTAACCAAAGAATAAAAATGCCAGCACATTTCTCTATTTTGGAAGAAAATCACACAATTAGATATCACTTGTTTTAAAAATGTGAGTTCCAAGGAATGTCAGTCTTTCTTAAACACAGCAACCTGTGAACAAATTTTAAAGTCATTTTGCTGGAATAAAAAAAGAAGTTAAATTACCTTCTCTGGAATCTTATGAATTTAGCACACACATCACAAGAATAGGTTTGTTCCACAAACAGAACATAGCACATGTGGTTTACATCTGTTGTTCCTTTAATGGAGCAAGTAAACAATTTTTTTTTGGGTATCCTGGCAATGAGTTTTTCATAGCCCCTTTTCCAGAAATAATCTATTTAATGTTGTAAATGAATATAAGAGAATCTTTGGGGACAGTGAATACAAAAATCTTTCAAGAGGTTCTTATGGATGTTGTCACTGAATGGCTATCCTGATGCTCTTGCTATTCACAAGCTACTGGCAGGCTGGTACAGATACATTTATTTATTTGTTTGTATCTCAGTTTATTATTTTTACAAGGGAGTAAATATATCTAATATTCCTTTCTCCTATTTTCCTCACAATAACAATCCATGAGGTGGGGTTTGGCCTGAGAAAGAGTGGCCTAAGGTCACTCAGCTGGCTTTCATGCTGAAGGCAGGACTAGTACTCAGTTTCCTGCTTTCTAGCCTGGTGCCTTAACCACTAGAGTAGACCAGGGGTCTCCAACCCCAGGTCCGTGAACCAGCACGGGGCCTCAGCGTATCACCAACCGGGCCGCACAAACAAGCAAAGCACCGAAACCAGCACCGAGCCTCCCGCTAAGGGTGGTGGGAGGCTCTGCCCACCCACCCAGACATCTCTGTGCATGTGCAGAAGCATTGTGCATGCACCCACGAGCAAATCAGTAGCGACCAACATTGAATCCCACTACTGATGCAAAACCACACCCATTCCAGTCCACGGAAAAACCTCTCTCAATAGAACCGGTACCTGGTGCCCAAAACTTTGGGGGGCATTGTACTAACTAGACCAACCTGGTTCTCTTCCTCCTTCCCTGTGTAGGCTCTCTCAGTGTGCACATTTCTAAACAAAGCAATCCACTATTTTTTAAGAATACTTGTTCAGTACTTTAAGAACCCAGAGGCCTTTTTGACTTTAAAAAGTGTTGCTTTAACTTTGCAGCGTGCCAACAATAATTCCTGTTTATTTTGTTTTTTAAAAGTCAGGTGGAACAGGAAACCTGACAGGTGTCGAGAAAAGTATCTGTAGATACACTGGAGTCTGTGCATATTTCAGTGGTCTACATGCTTTCTTTACAACATTATCTACTGTAAAATACAACTATTTGTGCTTAGTTTTTAATTAAGTGAAATACTGAGATTTATACAACTCTTACAGTTAAGATTCTGCATTCTACATTTTGCTAGATAGTTCAGAACATTTTCTTTTATCTATAGCTAAAAAATCTTTAAATAAAATAATCTGGCACAAATAGCAATAACAATTTGCAATGTGTATAAAGCATGCAGTTTGATTGAATGTAGTTTCTAAGTTAGATTTAGGTGTACTGTAGTTATTGGAATAATACATAGATAGGCCTGACTAAAAAAAGAGGGGGTTATTTGATTGTTTTTATATTGGATTTTAATAGTTTCTATAATCATTTATTTATTTATGATCATGATGTTGAATTTGAGACTTGAATTCAGACATGTATAATATTGAGTATGACCAGTAAATATCACTAAAACAGATGGTTTTATTTCCAATTAAGTACCACCATAGTTGGAACAGGGCTATGAATCTCTGTGACAAGTACTATGACTACATGTTTTCAACCTCAAAAATAAACTGAATACACTATACCGTCAGTTAAAAGTTATAGGGAGAGGTTAGCTGTGGATTATTCGTGTCCATTTTTCAAATTATTTTTCCTATTTTTGACACCGTTGTTTCACTGGAAAAGTTAATTAACTGAGAGACCACAGAGTTTGACTGGCCTTTCTATATTATTGATACAACCTCCCATTTCCTCCTTGACATACATACATATGGAGAGAGGAGTAAAGATTACTCCTAGTATTTGGAAGATTTGAAAGGTTAGAGTGTCTGTAGTTGCTGGATGTACTGATGAAACTGTAGCAGAAACAAAGTTTGGCAGCCATGTCCAACACAGTACTATTCTCAGATATTTCTATCATGCACGCAAAATCATGAGTGTTTCTGTATTCGTCAAAAATGTATAAAATAAGTTGTTTGTGTTGCCAGTTTTTCATGCCTCTGGAATTCCCCCTTCTATTCAACTATCAACAGATTGACATTTTACTAAACTGTTTTT